AAAAAAAAAAAAAAAAAAAAAAAAAAAAGAGAATTCATAGTGCCCGTTGATATATGCGTGGTGTCGTGGCAAAAGGAAAACAACTCATGCTCTTTTCCCTGCCTGTTGAGGCCGGGGACCTCACATTTCCACCCGGGGTTATCCCAGCAGCGTCAGCCACACACAAAAAAAAGAAAAAAAAAGAGGACATCCACAGGGGCGGGCGCATGGGGGCCACTCGGGCATACTCTAGCACACTGTCCCCCGCGAGCAATGCGTGCACACTGCACGTGCGCGCCCATCACCCATGAGCACATGGCGCACGGCGCGCACCGCTAAAGTGCGCGGCAAGTATGGTATGAAGCCAAAGTTGCTCAAAGGCCCCATCTTTTTTTCTTTTTTTTTTTTGAAAACATGCTCCAGCCCCCATGGAAAAGTCGATACCAAGAAAATGGAATCATAATATTATCTGCAAATACCAAAAACTTCTCAATTGAGTGTCAAAAAATGTCATCATCAACCACAAACAAACTCCGATAAAAAGGCAATTGAAAGTAGAGTTATAAAAAGAGGCCATCTTCGTCGAAACCACAGTTAACACAAACAGCGGGTGACTAACCAATCCTCATCCTCAGTTCAAACCAAGCGGCAAAAACCAAGACACCAAGAAAGATGATGATGCTCTTTCTTCTCTGCCGACTGGCTGACCCATATCGATCAATCCGCCACCCTCCCTTCTCCAGAAACCTTTTACAACATATCACTCAATATTGATTCAACAATCATCCCAAAAAAACCTACCTACATACATAAAAGCTGACGGCTTAAAGCTGTGGCTCAAACTCAAGTCTCAATAAAAACCAGCGCAAAAAAAAGGGACACCTAATCACTTGCTCGAAGAATTGTATGCGCGAACATGCTCGACAAATTCTCTCTTTAATGGCCACCCACAGTGGTCATCAAAAGGACAAATGCAGCCATCGAGGACCTGGCCCAATAGAAGAAGTGCACATCCAAACAGGACCTCATTATCCCACTACAGGCGTAGCAGCACGATGGAGAAGAATACTGGTGTGCACGGCACCGATCGTCATGATGGAGAAGAATACTGGTGTGCTCTGACATCTGGGGCTAGGTCCCACTTGCACGAATCAAGAGAAACTGACCGTAGATAGCAAAGATCAACAGCCGAAATCTCCTAATTTGCGCAAGTGGGACCTTGCCCCTGGTAACAATCCTGAGGGCGCACGCGCACGCGCGCTCGAATTTGGAAATCTTGAAATCTACCACCCCGCCTGCCGATGAAAATCGAAGAAAATCTGTCGAAATCAATCTCAAAATAGCCAAAACTGAACTTCCTTACTACCGAAGATAAGGACACAAAGCGTTTCCCGCCAACTCCGAAAAGGACGCAAAGCCTTTTCCCGCCAAATCCGAGGACCCAAAGTGTTTCCCGCCAAACCCAAGAAGGACGCAAAGCCTTTCACGCCTAATCCCAGAAGGAACCCAAAGCGTTTCCCGCCAAATCCAAGGAGGGCGCAAAGCATTACCCGCCAATTCCGAACAGGACGCAACACATTTCCCGCAAAATCCAAGAAGGACGCAAAGAGTTTCCCGCCAAATCAGAGAGCCAGCCTGGTATTGTCATGAGATCCTGGTGGATCCTCATCCCACACCACACCCTGGGGTTTAGAAGCATACATCCCCCCCCCTGGCTTGAAAATCAGAAGTAGCTCCGTCAACAAATAAAAGCAAAGAAAAAAAAAAAAACCAAAGAAAACGAACTCCGTCAACACCGGTGATGCGGACGCAAAGCATTTCCCGCCAAATCCAAGTGGTGTCGACCTGATGAAGGGCAGGGGCTGCCATCACACTGTAGTGTCCGAGCCTCTGTCTCGTCAGCATTTCCCGCCAAATCCAAGTGGTGGATCTACACTGCTCTTTACCATGACAGTTGCCGACACACAAGCTTGAGACCATTTCGCTGTTTTTCGCTTTTCGTTTTCTTTCTTGCTGTAGATCATCCACGGTGGATCGAACAGCCAGAGATATGAGTCGCCTCATTTTAGTAAAAAATATTTCCCATTTTTCTATCTAATATACCCGGTGTCAGAAAAAGTCGTCGGTGCTAGGAATCTATATGCTATCACTCGCCAACCCAATTTCCCCCGAACATAACTTCCTATCCTAACCATGAATGTACACAGACTCTATCCTGACCGTGTACATTGTACACAGCCATGATAATAAGGAGTCATGTTGAAGGGAATAAGGCCGTGCGACCAGACCCCTGATTTTCTTCCAAAGCCTGACACTTATGGGAACAAAACTCCAATCTATTCGTGGAGAGCAACACGTGCTGGGGACCGGGCCCTAGTTACTCTGCTTCAAGAAATGCGATGAAGATCACCAGGCCGTGCGACCCGAAATCTAATCAGATGATGAATACAACACACCCATGCAAATCAAAACACAGTCCTAGACGCGCAAATCAAATGAACACACACCCATCGGGTATAGAACACCCAACTGCGTCTCTGACGTGCAAATCAAAACACAGTCCTAGACGCGACTGTCACTACAAGAAGTAACAAAAGCCTATTACCCCGTTCTCCTCTTCCGCCCATCATTCCACCATCCTAACCACCGTTGGGGTCAACAACTCTCTCTCTCTCTCTCTCTCTCTCTCTCTCTCTCTCTCTCTCTCTCTCTCTCTCTCTCTCTCCCCCTACACACACACAGACTAGCAGTCTCTCTTGGTGGGCATTTCGGAATGCCTGTATCTGCTGGTTCTCTCGTTTCTCTCCCCCCGTCTCTCTCTTCCTCCCCAATAACCAGCACACTCACCTTGGCTTTAACCATCGCGAGCTATCGAAACGTGTCCACCTCTCAACGCTGTGCCGACAAACCTCATCAATCATTGCCATGATTATCATTAGGGCTGCGCAGATGACCATGTCATCATCTCATCCATACTACAGGACTGGACAGTCAGTCCATCGATGCACATGATTGCGCATCTTGCACTCACAGATATTTGCAGCTGTGATCGATCAACAGGCGGGTTGATAGAGATGAAGAGCTTTGGATTTGAGGAAGGAGCGGAGCCCCTCCATGGATAGCGTACATCCCACTCCCGAGTTCTTGCGTCCCGACCACGGTAGGCGCGGCGACACACGGTCGCAGCAGTTCCAATACCCAGTCCCGACTTCCAAATCTCTCAAAATTGCCTCAGCCTTAGCCTTGTCCCTCGTGAACACGCCAGCTGTCAATCCGTATTCCGTATCCCTCATCAGATCCACGGCCTGGTCATCTCCATCGACTACCTGGACGCCGACCAAGGGGCCGAAGGTTTCCTCCCTCATGACCTTCATCCCGTGGTGCACATTCGTTAGAACGGTAGGCGGAAAGAAGAACCCACTTCCTTCCTCTCTTGCCACGTCAATGTCCCCCCCCACGACGACACTTGCCCCTTTGGTGAGAGCATCCTGGAGCTGTTCCCTCAAGAACGCAAGGTGCTGACCGCGAGCCACGGGCCCCAAGTACGTCGCCTCATGCATCGGGTCCCCTTGCTTAAACGCATTGACATTGCGCGCCAAGGACTCGAGAAACTCTCTGCTGACAGATCGATCCACGTAGATTCTCTCCACCGAGCAGCAACTCTGCCCGCAGTTGTAGAACGCCCCATCGGCAATCGTCGCGGCTGCTGCCGCCACGTCAGCCACATCATGCCGCACGTACACCGCGTCCTTCCCGCCTAATTCCAGCTGGAGTTTGACTAGATGCGGCGCCGCCAGCTCGGCAACCCTGACGCCTGTGGGGTAAGATCCCGTGAAGTACAAGCCCCCCAGACCTTGCAGCGACGCCACCGTCTCACCCGTCGATCGCCCTCCTTTGGTCAGGATGAACGCGTCTCCGGGCACGCCGGCTTCATGTAGCAGCTCCTCCATCAACTGGCCCGACAAGGTGGTCTGCTCGCTAGGCTTGAATAGAACCGTGTTGCCAGTCACAAGCGCCGCCGCCACGACGTTCGACGATATGAAGTACGGGTAGTTCCAGCTACATATGTGCGCGACTACGCCTAAGGGTTCGTACACTATGCGTTCGCTAAGGCGACCCACTTGGTGCACCAGCTCCTCTTGAAGCACAGCCTCGGCATGATCGATGAAATACCTCACTCGCTGTACCGAGGCCCTGATCTCCTGCCGGGCTTGAGTTATCGGCTTCCCTATTTCAGCCGTCAGGACGCTGGCCAGCTTGTCCACGTGCTTCAGCAGCAGCTCGTTGAACAGCAGCAACACCGCCTTTCGATCAACGATAGGTGTCTTCCGCCATCGCTCCACACCTCCCGCCAGCTTCTCATACTTAGCGATTACGCTCGCCGGCGAGTCCTCGTCAATTTCCGCGATCACCTCCTCAGTCGTCGGATTAACCACTTCAAATGTGGAGAACCTCCTCCCAAATGTGGAGAACCTCCTCCTCTGCCTCTGGCCCAGCAGTCTGCCCTCGCTGCTGCTGCTCGTTGATGACATTGTGGCGGCCGAAGCGCGATGAGCTGCTGCTGCTGCTGCTGCTGCTGCTGCTCCTCCTCCTCCTCCTCCTCTTGGACTCCCCCATGTCGCACGGGCTGCCGCAAAAGAATGGCGCAAGATAGCCCACCTCGGCAGCATCGTTCGCTGCGGCCGCCGCAACAGAAAAATTCAGGATAGGATAGAAAAGCTTGAGTTCAAGGAAAGGCGAACTCAAAAACAAAAAAATTCACGCTAAGTTTAAAACTTTTCAGTTTACCAAACGGTTTTCAGTTTATGCCATGGTGACCATTTTTCTTTCAAATTATAAACTGAAAAGAAAAGAAAAAAAACAGTGAAAAGTATACTTTGCCTGAAAGTTCGGGAACAATCTTGAAAATTTCAATATAACATTTCAGTTTAATATATATAGATTGAAATGAAATGTCATGTATTGCCTGAAATCAGACTGAAATCTTATCTTTCAATTTAACTTGGCGATAAGAAAAAAGACAACCGAACTCAAACTGAAAAATTACCCCTTGCAGGCTGGATAATTAAACTGAAATGAAATGTGATTTGTTGTCCGAAAAAAAAAAAAAAAAAAAAACTTACATGCAACTTGTGAACATAAACTTCATAAAGGTAAACAGAAATGTCACTTGTAGACGGAAAATTAAACTGACAGTTTGAATTGGATTTGTTGAACTGATTAGGTTGTGTTTCACAAGGGTTAACAAAAAAAAAAAATGTCCATCTGATTCACATGGATGCTAGAGATCTACTCTGTCTTTTGTCACTTAGATCCTCACTCGCTGTACCTCACAAGAGGGCATCACATTAAAAAAAAAAGAAAAAAAAAAGAAAAAAAAAAAAGAGGGCATCGCAAGAGTGGGTATTTACCTCGGTACCAGCACAGAAAGCAATGTTTGTGAGTGCATATAACCTTTTTCACATGGCGCACTGCACGCGGTTCATGCGAGAGTCTGTTGTCAAGGCAGAGGCTGCCATATCCGTTCCTCATCCCGCAAGGGGATGGAGAAGGTTCAATCACAAGTGCAGCTGGAGCATGCCGTCTCATCATATCAGGACAGTCCACAGATTTCCGACACGTACTAAAAAAAAAATTCTATCTTTTTTTTGTTCACTTCACTTTCTCTACTCTCGACAACAGCTTTTACTGGAAACACTGGCAACACGCACATCGATGGCTGGCAGCAGAAGGAAATAATCAGACTCCCCCACGTGGTTAGTCAAGCGTGGCATGTCAGGAGCACAATGCTGTATTCAAGTTGGGCATCTAATCAATCAACGGGGGGGGGGGGAGGGAAATGCAAGACAATGATGGGACAGAGTTGTCAAGGCAGAGGCTGGCATTAACCATATCCCTGCATAATGATCTCAGCAGAAACAATGTCGTGCACATGCTAACCGGTCATGGCACACAAAGTCGTTCACAGAGAACGGCAGGAGAAGCAACGGTCCTCTTACTAAGGGGGTTCCCTCATCTTCAGTAACAGAATCAGTCTGATCTGCTGCAAGTGCCGCACCCTGGGGGGCGGTCCATCAATCACTAACCGCAGTGACACCTGGTTTGATCTGCTGTGTTAGTGACACCTGGTTTGATCTGCTGTGTTAGTGACACCTGGTTTGATCTGCTGTGTTAGTGACACCTGGTTTGATCCGCTGCACAGACAAGAGCTGCAGCCTGACCAGTCACTGTGTTTGATCTGCACGGGCCAGATGTTTTTTTCTGGGAGGAACAGAGCCTCAGCCAGCCACAAAAGCTTTTTTGCCTCGCCGAAGTTGAACCCTCCCAATCCCAACCCCATGCTGTTGCCGATTGGCGAGCCACATCTAGTGGGACTCCACGATTTTGAGTGATAGTTAAGGGTAATATGACCCCCCACCGACTGCACAATTCGGAACTGGGTCCATGAATTTGCAAAAAAGGTAATATGACCCACCGAAGTGACCGGGGCAATGCAGTATAGCATACGAAGTACCGCGCGCAGCAAGGAAGCGCAGCGCGGAGGGCGCAGGTCATGCATGGAAGGCGCCGGTAGCCTGCGTTGAGTCGTCGAGTCGTTGAGTTGACAGACGGCAGACCAGGGGCTTAATCCGGGCGGAAACAGGACGCGGACTGCAAGGGTGTGGATGCGGGGTGCTTTCCACCGTGGGTTTAGTTTAGTTTTGGGGGCCAAGTCCCACTAGCAGGGGTTTAGTTTAGTTTAGTTTAGTTTAGTTTAGTTTAGTTTAGTTTAGTTTTGTTTAGTTTAGTTTTGTTTTGTTTTGTTTTGGATTCGTGCTACAGCCAGCCCACCCAAGGCCAGTTCTTATCTGCAGCCGCTAGAGTCCTGGGCTGCTCAAAAACGATATGGTAAAGCTCTCTTTTTTTTTCTTTTTTTTTTCAACACAGACCTGATTTTGAGTCTGTTGTTGAATATAGGCTGGAAAACATTGTTGGACTGCGCTTTGCTTTGCGGCAGCTAGGACATAGAAAGCGTGAGAAACCAGCCTGATTGTGATTGTGTTTGTGCTTTGCATGTTCTATTGTTAGCACACGTAGTTGTTTGTGATTTGCATGTTCTATTGTTAGCACACGTATGTCATGTCACACTACCGGTAGGACCTTTTCTGCGAATTTCCCCAACTGTCAACTCTGCTGTACTGAATCCCCGGCCGGGCATACTCACACCAGGACTCCGCTTTGCTGAAGCTCAAGGGCATACTCA